CGGGGAGAGCCGGCGGCCGTGGCCCCGCCAGCGCGGCGGCGGGACTACTTGTGCCAGAAAGGGTTCGTAGTCGAGACCAGGTGAACGGATACTTTACAGGTAGGGCGGGGAGGTTTTTGGAAGGGACGTACAGCAAAGGGAGAAGGGTCTCAGTAGAATAACTGAGTTTTGCTGTTTGGTTAAGTACCAAGGTCTCAGGAATTTGATTAGATTGCTTTTTCGTCGGTAACTCAGCCTTCTTATTTGCAGAATGTGGTCTGTTTATTTTCACTTATGACGAGATAATGGGAATGTGTCCACAGGGTTTTTGGTGTTTCTGGAAATTAGGCGATCTCCTGGTAACTTACTGAAATGATTATAGGGAGTTCCTGGGATGAGCAAAATCTGATTCTTAATGGCCAAATTTCCCCTTCAGCGTCTTGATGCTTGAATTCTTTCTTTCCCATGTGTTGAGTGTTTTGCTGTATGCCAAGCTCCATACTTAGAACTCTTTATAATCTTACTTAATCCTTAAGTGAGGAAATTGAGGATCAAAGACGTTAATTAAGGGGAGGGTCTTGGATTCCAACTGGAATATTCATACCTTGGTGTGGGCCACGCATGACTTCAAATGACAGTCTCCTGTTAATCTTTGGCTCTACATCAGAAAATGAGCCCGGAACGATACTTTGATAAGCTGAAAGTCAGTGCAATGTCTTGTTGCTCACTAGCTGTCAGGATCCAGTGTATTAGTCATTGTCTTAGGTTCTGATTTGTCTTGTTCATCAGTGATAAGGAAATGTTCCAGCAGTGACCCCTGAGTATAAGTCATTTGTCTAGGAGAGGGAAAGATTTTTATCTTGAAAATTATTGTCTTTGGAATATGTTCAAAATAGGTAGGAAGAATGTGGTTTGGGGAACCCTGGAACAAGACGAGAAGATTTTACAGAGAAGTATTCTGCATCTGTGGTAATGAAAAAGTTTAAGAAGAGAGAAAAATTAGGAAAAAAAGAAAGACTTGAGTTTTAAATAAAAGGATTTATCTGGTGCAGGGAAATGATTTCAAGTGAGATCACATGGGATAAAAAAGTTACTTGTGTAAGTGTGGAGCTTTGGGACACTAAATCACAACACACACAGTTGTCAAAGTAGGTGGGCTCAGTTATCCATTTAATAGTTTTCCCCCCACCTCTTTATACTGAGTACGCATTATCTTTTTACTTTGTGAACATAAAAACTGCAAGTCTAGGGGGTGAAGTAATTGCCCATATAATGCCCTTCTCATTTATGTGTGCGAGAAGCACTGTAACTAGTATGGTGCTTTTTTCCTGTCTTGGATTTATACCTCTAAGTTTAAGATGTGATGTTTCTAATTACCGTGTTTTACCCAACTTGTGATATTTAAAATTTTAACCTTTCCTCTTACCCAGTGTAACAGGATCTAGGGTCAGGGTTTGAATGCTTATTTCATCTCCTGAGAGATACTATTTTCTAAAATCCGTTTTCTCATCTGTAAGATGTAGAGAGAACTAAATGCAGTGAAGCATGGCAAGTACCTAGCACAGGGCCTGGCACTTTGAAAGCATTCAGTGTTGGCCAGCAGTTAGAGCATTCATTCATTTAGAAAAAATTCACTGATAATTCTAAATGCTCTTCTGGGCGCTGGGGACGTAGCTGTGGATTTAAGACAGATAAAGCCACTGCTTTTATGGAACTTACAGATGAACAATAAACATGTAAACAATTAAAACTTATAATTAGATGGGGAGAAATGCTATGAAGAGAAGAAACAGATGGAGATGGGAGAGGTAGTAACGGAGGAAGACAGTTTTAGACAGGGTGATCAGGGCAGCCACTCTGGAGGATGACATTTGAGGGTGAGCCAAGAAAAGGAAAGAGCGAGCCATTTGCAAAAAAAACAAACAAACCAGGATAAAAGCATTTTAGGCAACAGAACTGCAAACTCAAAGGCCCAAAGCAAGAAGGGGCTAGGTGGGTTCAGGGCCAAGAAAAGGATTAGGGGCTGGGGAGACTAGTGAGTGTGGGCAGTGGTGCTGGTGAAGGGGGAGCAAGGCAGGTGGAGAGTAGAAAGAAAATGTGCCAGCTCCACACTGTGTACACTAGCAACGGATTGGGAACCACGCAGATGTCCAGTAGGAGACTGGACAGTGGCAGCTTGTAGGTGCACCTTCTGCCTCTGGGTGGACCTCCAGCCTCTGACGAGTGAGGGAGAAAAACGGCGTTTTCTGCTCCTGTTTGAGCGTGTGTAAGTTGAGGGGGCTCCGCCTAGAAGCACGCACAGGTACAGATTCTGCAAGGATGCAGAAGAAATGCTGGGAGCCCAAGGTGACTTGAGAGCAGTAAGGGAGATGTTGCTGTGTACCCTTTGAATTTTCTACCATATGTGTATGGTACCTGTTGAAAATTAATAAAATAACAACAGAATCTCCCAACCTCTCCAGCCATTCATCCTTATTCTCCTTCGGCCAGCGCCTGCTGTCAGCTGTACTGCTCACACGCCTTAGCCTCCCTGCCAGGCCACAGAGGTCTGGGCATACGGCTTTTAGAGGCCATGGCATACTCTTATTTTGTGTTTTTATCTGAGTCTTGGGAAACCATCAAGAAAGCATTTTAAGCAGAAGCACAACAGCTGCTTTATGTTTTAAGATATATTTCTAGCTGGTGTGTGAAGAGTGTTGCTGGAGGGGCTGGTTGTGCTTGGCTTGGCGGGAGACATGGATCGTTTACCTTGGTGGTGGCGGTCAGGCTGGGGAGAAGCTGATGGATTTGGGGTGGGTTTTGGAGGTAAAAAGGACTGGATTTCATGCTGGGTTGGATGCGAAAGCTGAGAGAAGAGGAGAAATGAAGCCTGAGTGCCAGCTGCCCTGGTGGTACCGTCTACTGAGGGGAGTCCTGGGGTGGGGGTTGGTTTGGAGGTGGACGTGAAGAATTGTGTTTTAGGTGCAAGGGATCAGGTGGGCCGTACTGCTGGGACACTGGGAAGGTCTGAGTTAGAGCTGTGGATCAGAGAGTCACGGGCAGAAAGCCGCGGTACTAGACAAAGGGGAGAAAGATGTTGGAAGTTTAAAGAGAGAAGTGTGAAGTGGTTAGAGGTTGAGAAAGCACAGCCATTCGGGAAGTGTAGACTTGCTGGCCAGTGTCTCATGGCCTTTGAGGTTTGTGGTTTTGAATCTAACAAGTGACACCAGCCTGCTTGTGTGATTTTACTGTGGCAAAACTGAACTGCTAGGGCACAGGGAAGGAGGCCAGAGGCAAGTGAGAGAAAAATTCCCCTAAGAGCGAGAGTCCAGATTCTCAGATGGTCAAGAAGGAACTGAGGACAAGAGGAGGGCAATGGGTGATGGGAAAAAATGGGAAGGTGATGGAATTGGGAGCTTGCTGAGGTCAAATGACTGCTGGAGTGGGGAATATGAAGTCAGTGGTTTTCTGGAAGAAAAGTGTATTTGAAATTCAGTTCGGGAGGTGATGCAGTTACTGGTAATGACAGGGGCTAGGTTTTGACCATGGAGTGAGTTTTTATCGTGGGATGGAGGAAAAAATTGGTGGGAAAGAGGGCATGGAACTGCTGGGTTCCCCACCTGGGTGTTGACAGGGGACAGAAGTGGGGCTGGGGGTGGTGGAGGAAGAGTGAGACAGGAGCTGACTCTGAGAGGGGCCCCGGAGGGAGCAGGAGGTGGCAGCATGAGGGGCAACGGGCAGGGAGGCCCATGAGTTTCCAGGTCTCATGAAGAGGAAGAGTGGTCGTGAGAGGAAGGATTGCTTCTCTTTGAGAGACCTCAGAGGAAACAACATTATCTGGGTGCAGGCAGAGTCCGCTAAGGCAAGAAAGGCAAGGGCCTCTCGTGATACAGAGAAGTTTATTCACTGCTTCTCTCCATTTCCAGAGAGCATCTCCATCAGCTGGGGGTCAGGTGAGATGTAGGTGGCAGAGTGGGCACGGGATCCTGAGGCTTCACGCCTGTCATCTCCCCTTCTGCCAGTCTCTCCCCTTTCCGCTCTGCAGTCTGTTTCCCTGAGGTGTTCCTAATACAAGACAGCTTTATATCTTACTATATTTGGGTTGGAATGGACTCTAAATATGCATGGAATGTGAAATTTGGTGGTGGTTTCTCATTCCAAGGTGGTGTTTATAAGGGGAAGATAGCCTTCTGCCTGGGCATGTTACATGTGAAGCCATCTCTTATTCAGCATTGATCACACATTCTGGAGTGTTCATTTGGGAAAGCACCTTGTGTGGATGATCCTGTAGGAGCCCAAAAAGCTTCGCTGCAAATCAAATGAGTTAAAAATTACGAACTTGCCTTGAAAAGTAGAACCTGGCTCAGTGCCTTGTTCTGTATTCTTCTTGATGGCAAAAATCTTATTTTTCTTAAGTTTTTTTAAGATCATTTTGTTCTCATATGATAGTTGTATATGTAGTATCCATGGATTAAGAAGATGCTAAATGACAAGCTTCTGTTAATTCAGAAACACTTAAAATGAATTTTGGTTTTATTATAACAGCATGTACACACACTGGGAAAATGTTAGGTATTTGTTTAGTCTGTAATTGGAGCTGGAGAGGAAATGGTCTTCAGGAAGTAGGGTGTGCTGGATGGACTCAGACTTGGCAAAGACTCCATGCTTCTGCAGGCGCCCAGGGCTCACAGGTGATTAGAAGTCACTTCTGTGATGTAGGGGATATAAGTGTGAGGTATTATTATTATTAATGATTGTAATTATATACCACCAGATGTTATCATAGTATTCATTTAAAATGGCATTCTGCCAACAGCAGGTGAATGTTTAAAACTATTTTCTCATTGTATTTATTAAGCATTTTCTTCCCTGCCACTGTAGCTGAGGAAAAGGTGGTTTTTCCAAAACAAAATCCAGATGGTCTCACAAACAGCTTCATAGTCATTTAAAGCCATTAATGTAACTATATAGCCCTGAAACCCACAACCACTGTTGCCAAAGCAGCATAATCCCAACTTTTGGAGCATAGATTTTTGGAATTATTATTTTACTTGATTGATTATAGAATTTCATAACCCACACCCTTTTCTGAAGTATTCGGTGCAGTGTTTTTGAGTTGTGAGTACGTTCAGTTCGAAGAGCTACAGTTTATAAGGAATATTTAAAACGTTGAGTTGTCTCACTTGGGCATGTTTAATCTTGTAAATGGAAGTAAATTTAGCAGTAACAGTAGCTCTCTCTGGTTTGTAACTTCCTGGAATTACAGATAGAAAGTTTATTTACTTTTTGTGAGTGGAATTTTAGTCTTAAATTGGCTCATAATTTTGTTAATGTTTTTCGGGGAGAATGATTATATGAAATTAGTTACATTCTACTGATGTGGGATTAATCCTGGGCAGATCAGTGGCTAAAATAATTACTTTAATATCTTACATACACTGTTTATTTTAGTCTCATAACTCTCAGAAGAGATAGGCCATTTTATGAAGGACCATCTGTGATAGAGAGACTGACTTGCCCAAGGGCTCACAGCCAGTAAGTGAATCAGCTGTAGTGTTTATACAATTTTAATCATCTCAACTTTGTACCTTTTATCCAAAAGTTTTAAGAATGGCCTTTCACCTGGGTCTCTCAGTATTTAAGGTTTGAGTCCATCTATCAAGCTGTAGTATAAACTGTACTATAAACAGCAGTTACAGGGATCGTGGCCTTGTGCAAAGCCCTGTGAGTCACTAGTTTTAGTGTTGAAAGCTCTTGAGTACATCTCCTACCTTTGACTATTGTAGTATGTTTATCATACAAGGTATTTTGTTAATTTATTTTTTCTAATATTCAGATAAATTGTAGGACTTTTCCAGTGCTGTAGATGTTCTCCCTCCTGATTATAAAATAGATACACGTTCAGTGTAGAAGTTTTAGGAAAGTATATAGAAAACTAAAATTACCCATGATCCCACTACCAGAGAGAACTATATATTCTCTGTTTATTTGTAAGTATTATGTAAATGTAGAGTCAAGTTGATTATATTTATAGGTCATATCCTACTTTTTTCACTTGACATTTTTTCATGTTACTAAAAAGCCTTAATTCATCATGTCAAATGAAAAATATTCAACCATATGGCTATACCATAATTTGTTTAAACATTCTCCTCTCATTGCATATTTAGGTTGTTTCTGCAGACTCATAGCTGGTGACATGATGCTTAATTATTCTTGGGTGTCTGTCAGCATGGATGCAGAGAGGTGAGAGGAATTAGGGAGAGAGATGGCATAGGAGTGGCCTGACCTCTGCCTGATTCCCTCATGACCGACACAAAGCTCATCTTTTTTAATGAAAGAAAGCTCTTCTGACTCTTGTGAAAACTACCTTTGTTTAGAGAACTGAATGCATAATTGAATCTTTGTGTCAAAGGCTCTTGATGAACATGACCAGATTGTCTTCCTGTAACATTGTACTAATTTTCACTTCCATCAGCAGCGTATGAGAGTTCAGGGAACATTAGACTTCAAGCTGCATTGAGCACAGTCTTTTTTAACTATGCAAACTTTTTTTTTTTTTGGGCCATAATTGGCATTTCTTATGTTGCTAGTGAGATGGGAACTTTTATTTGGTAAGTTTAATAGCCGTTTCATTTCTTTTGAGTTGTCTATTCATTTCCTTTGCTCATTCTCCATTCAATTAGTGATTTTCTTATCAGTTTGTATGAGAGTTCTTTCTATTAGGATGTAATCTTTTGTCATGGATTTCTTTTTAAAGGCCTACCTAGTAGCTGTAAAACATAATTATCAAATCTAGTTTTCTTGTGTCAACTAGTCCATATAATTTTTTTTCAAGGCCTAATTATACGCTGACTGGTTGTAAGTCTAAATAATTCCGTTTTTGGATAATCTGCCTGTTTTGAGTAATGTTAATAATCTGTTTCGTCTTTCTAGGAAGAAGAAATGACGTAAACCGTTCACTCTCCAGACTTTAAAGTCAAGGTGGGAAGGAAGGTCAGGAAGAACATGGCCTGGCCGCATATTTTTCAGAGAGGAACTCTGCTCTCCCGGTTCAGCCATCATCATGTAGTCGTGTTCCTGCTCACCTTCTTCAGGTAAGAGGACTGATGAAGCTCTTCTCTTGTTGTCATTGTTTCCCTTTTGAAGGAGCCGTTTACCGCAAGGCGAGTGTTTAATGCAGAGGTTGGCATGAGCGTAACATGAAACAGACTAGCTAGTCCTTCTGCTGTTCTTTCCGATGGCTCCAGTACAGTGGATCTCAAGGGCTGTCCTGCCCCTGTCTGGCTATGGCTGGAGACATTTTTAGTTGTCATGCCGAGGGAAGGGGTGCTACCTGCATCTAGTAGGTAGAGACCAGGGATGCTGCTAACATCCTGCAGTGCACAGAATAGCCCCCCACAACAGAGAACTTAGGAGTCCCGATATGTCAATACTGCCATGACTGAAAAACCTTAATCCAATATAAAACCCTTTAATTGTTAAAACCAGGAGCTTGAGAACAAAGGATGTGTATATTCAGGGAATGCCTTGTGCCTCTTTGAGCAGTAAAGATGGTATGAGATGGTGAGGAGCTGCCGTAACTCATGTGAGAGCCCTGAGCAGTCAGCATGACTGAAGAATCATCCACGTCTGACTGCGTGGCCCTCTGTGGCTCTCTGTAGATGATGTAAACCAGGCCTGTAGGTGTTACGGGCACGCTGTTCATAACCCTGGGACTCAGCTATTTTGATTATTTACTCTGAATAGATTTTATTATTAATCTTTATTGAAGGCACCAAAATGATGGTTTATTTATTTATTGTTTAAGGCAGAAATGAGGGAAATGGTTTTCTAATTATGTAAGAGTTGATTGGTAATTTTGGATCCTTGTTTAGGGGAAATGCATTTGAGAGGATTTGAGGGAGGCATCAATATGAGGAAAAGACAGGACCAGGAAAAAGCTACTGGATGGCCAGTGTAGTGAGTGGCCAGTGGTTGCTTAAGACTTAAAATCCTTTACGGAACTGCAACCATGATTTCAAGTGCATTGAGATCAGTCCCATCTCCATCTTCTAGGTCCGGGGACACGTGATGAGTGAACATGGGGGCTCATATGGAAGAAGACAAGTTAATCATTTCTTTTGCTTAGCAGAGACTGTTTCAATGGACAGTTCTTACAAAGCAGTACTCACCCTTCCTTCCTTCTCTCTTCTGTAGTTACTCATTGCTCCACGCGTCAAGAAAAACATTTAGCAATGTCAAAGTCAGTATCTCCAAGCAGTGGACCCCAAGCGCTTTCAACAAGTCAATTGAACTGCCTGTAGAGGTAAGCACAACCAACTAATGGGGTGGATTCCAAAGGGAACCATGCCCACGTGTAAATTCTCCTTAAGTTCTCTTTTGTTTCATTCATCCTTAGGATGACTTACTGTTTCCTATGGCGTAAAATCCAAGCTACTCTGCATGATTTCTTAGCTTGCCCTGATTCAGGCCTGCTTTACCATTGCAGCCAACTTATTTCTTGTTGTTTTGAAATCACACCATTCTGGCTAGACTGTTTTTTCATTGAGTTTCACAAGTACCATGCTCATTTCTGCCTTTGAGATTTTGCTTGTATTCTTTTATATGACCTTTCACCTTCTGCACACCCATCTACATTTTGATTTTCCCTTTGTGTTGAGATAAAGTGCCGCTTTTCCTATCAAGTTTTTTTTCCCAGCTTCTGGTTTTTTTCCCTTTCACACTGTGTACACCGTGTATTATGTAGTTTAATGTCTCAGTATTTATGTACTTTCTTCTTGTTTCATTTGTTTGTATCTTGTTTAAGTGGCTTGAAGTCAGGGAGTGTGTATCCATCCAGTTCTTTTATTCATTGTGGACCAAGTAAATTCTTTGATGATCGTTTGGAGTGGAAGTGCTGTTCTTTATAATAACCTGTCTCAGTGCACAAATCCTTACCTCTCAATCTTTACTACATTATTTGAGTTTTATTTATGTGGAATTACAGGTATATATTAATATGCCTAGCATTTTTATTTCTTAAAAATTATTTTCTTTATTTAGACCAATTCACAGTTGATAGGTTTGAAGGTTATATGACTATCCCCTGAAGTGTAAATAAATTATTCAGTCAGTTGCTTATTGAGAGTCTGTCCTACACTGAGGGTACCGCCCCCCCCCCCCTCCAAAAGCCTAGAGGATTAAAAAAAAAAGGGCCTTTCCTTATGGAGCTGACATTCTAGTGGAGATGCTCTCGAACAATTTTTCTCAAATTTAAGTTATCAGGAACTTTTAAAAGGCAAGCTGTTAAGACTAGATGGCTAGATTTCTTGACTGAGTTTTGACAATTGACAAGTACATTTTTATTTAACTCTCATTAATAGGAAGTTCTTTCTTCTGTTGACGTAAGAGTGTTCCATCATGTAATTTTGATCTTGGGTTTTGTCATGAGCCATGCATCCTTAGTTGATTCCTGCTGCAGGACTCCCTGTTGAATATCTGAGGAAAACCTGTTTCCCTAAGTTTCTTCTGTTCAGGCAAAACATCCCTGGCTCCTTTGACTGCAGCTTAGACCAAGCACTAAGTATCGTATTCCAGGTACAGGCTGACCAATGTGTAGAACAATAGGATTTGACTTAGACACTGAATTTCTGGTTACACTGCCCAAGGCTGCCTTTGTTTTTTAGGTAACTGGGTTGGGGATCTCAAAGACTACTCCCCGGTTTGAGGATTCAGTAGGTGGACTCATAGGACTCAGCATATGACTCAAAACTCTGGTTTATTATAGTGAAAAGTTACAGAGAAAGATGAGCAAAGGGAAAAGCATGTAGGGTGAGGTCTAGAGGAAACCAGGCAAAAGTTTCCAAGAGTCCTTTTCCAGTACAGTCATATAGATGTGCTTAATTCTTCTGGCAACAAGTCGTGACAGCTCCGGTGAGATGCTGTCTGCTGGGGAGGCCAATTAGAGACATGGTGCCAGGGTTCTTATTGGGGTTGCTCACGTAGGCACTCTCTACCTGGCACGTATGAAAATTCTGCTTTCCCATTAGGAAGGCAAATATTCAGCATAAACCACATTGTTTGGACAGACAGTTTAGGCACAGGGAGCCACTCTTAGCAGGGAATGGTGGGGACCCCCTCAAGATCCAGCCTTGCAAGCAGGTCTTTTTTAGGATAGCATCTCAGGTCTGCGGTGTTAACTCTTTCCTGCCAGTAGCCACGTCACATTATAAGCTTGTGTTGAACTTGCATTAACTTTTCTGCCAAAATATTTATTTATTTACTTACTTATTCTAATTGGCGCTAAAATAGGTTTCATCAGTCTGTGTTTTCAGAACTATAGATTCACTAGTTTGGATGGATTGGTTATGTAGAAGTCAGGTTCTACTGTATCCTGGAAGCCTTTGTATTTTTGTACCTACCCTCGTGGAGAGCAGTGCCAACTTCCCATTCCTTTCTTTAGACTTGAAGTCCAGGTTTTGCCTTTCCTGAAGCCTGTGGCTGGAGCGGAGTGGCTGGGACGATATGTCCCTTTCACTTCTCCTGTGCTTCAGGGTCTGTAACTGTCTTAACTCTAGCTTTCCTTTGAGACTTTCTGTCTTTTTCAGAGTGGGAAGATTCTTTGAACCAGAAGTGTATATAAACTTAGTCTGAACTCTAAAAAATACTGTGTTTATATGTATTGTTAAACATTTCTTAAGTGCCCTAAGTAGCTTCCTAGGAAAGTACTTATTATAGCTTTCATTTTTATGCATCTCAATTTTAGATGCTTTACAAAAAAAAAAATGAAGCCGACACAGTCTCTGTACCTTGAGACTTCACAGTGGATCCCATGGACGTGGACAGACATTGAAAATAGTAGGAGAACATAACATAAAATCTGTGTTTACAGATAATAAAGAGGAAATGGTTAAATCTGATATTTGAGGACAACTTGACTGAAAATCATACACAAACATTTCTTCTATCAAATTAAAAAAAAAAGCTTTATCTCTCCTGACAGTATAGGCCTTCCAGAGTGTAGAGAACAGTGTGAGAGAATCTAAACTTCTCAGCAGGAGAGGGAGGCAGAGTTCACGGCGCCCTCAGTGGTCCAGTTCGGCCTCAGCGGCAGCTGCTCTGACTCAGCTTCTCACGTCAGCCGGCACCACTCGGGTACCACCCCCGCTAGACCGAGAGCAGACCCCTGAGCGCAGACCAGCTTCAGCTCACCCTCGGCACGCCAGGGCAGGAAGCTCTTGCGTGTTGGAAGTCCCCCACCCCCACGCATAGCTGTAACTCTGTGATAAACGTCCTCACTTAGGAAACCCACACCGTGACCTTTCTTGCTTCCAGGAAATGCCTCAACGTGTAGCAACCCTGGTAGTGTAACACGGTCCCGGCCCCAGCACGCAGCCACATCCTCCAGGCGTGCAGGCCAGCATGTGGGGCTTTAGCATCCTAAAGTCATTTTGTCAATACCTTGGAGGCTCATTTCATCCTCTTTTGAGGAAATACCTGCCAGATACCCAAAGCTGAATAGCTAGAGTTCCTCTGTCTGTCACTCTCTCAAGTGAAGGTGACATCGCAGCTCGCAGCTCGCAGCTCTCCCCTCTCCCCTCTCCCTCAGGACGGCCGCCTCCTGCTAGCGGAGCCGCGGTGATCGGAGCTGTACCACTGATGTAAACTTTCTTCACTAGGCTTTTTTTTCTTTTTTCCTGTTTTCTGAATCTTTCTGTTAGTCCTGCTTTGCTCTCTTAGTTTTTGGTTTTGTTTACACTTACTAAGTAGGCAGTCAAACGTGTATTTCCTCTGAATGCTGGCAGTGGAGCAGAAAAAAGCTGTTTAAAATCGCCCTTCTTGTGACAGCCGCACCTGTGGGGAGTTTTGATGACTGAAACTTTGAGCAGCTGCTGGGAGGCCCCACCTCTGGCTCACGTTGGTGTGTGCCCAGCAGGACTTACTCCTGGGTCCTACTGAGCCTGGACAGCATTGGGGATCAAAGAGTGTGGTTAGAGGGAAAGGAGGCAAAGTAACTGACTGGAGGTACTGAGGGCCCCACGTTGGCTCGCTGACGTGCTGATGCGTCTCCGCCGTGTGAGCTGCTTTCTTACAGCCCGTGAGAGCAGTGTGAGTGTTACAGTAACAAGACCGAGGCCATAAGCCACACAGAAATGAGTCAGTACTTCAGAGTCACACTTAAAATTTGGGGATTTTTACCTTCTGTTAAAGATATGTATTTTTAAAATTACCGATTGTGATTTTTCTGTTTAATATTCTAAAGTCAGATTTTCTTTTCTGTAGTAGCCCACCTCAGAAATCATTGTGTCCAGCTGTTCTCAAAGCTTTAGCCTGCGGACCTCAAAGAGCATCTGGTTATATGAATTTATATTTATAGATACTTACTGTTTTAGAAATTCAAACTGAGAAACTGAAAAAAGACATTGGTTTTAAGTTGTTTTTAAATGAACTAAATAAACCCATCACATGTTAACAGAAATAACATTTTATGGAAAATGCCTTTTTTTAAACAAAAAATAATGAAGGAGAGAGGCATTGATTTACATTTTTCAACTCTCTTAATGTCTGGCTTAATAGAAGACAATGGATTTTCATGTCTCTTCTGAATTCAGTTTCTTGCAACATGATACTTTGCAGAGAGTATATGGAGAGAATTTGGCTTTCACAGATACATAGTGGAAGAGGGAGAAGTCCTTTAATAGCCTTTTCAGTTAATTGTGGAGATTCGTCTTTGACACTACACCCGAATTTGACAAGTGGCAATTTCCTAAAGGTTTTAGTTGCAGTGTGGAATCTGAAACTGTATTCATTAACTTTTTTATGTGCTTACATTAAGATCCATTTGTCTGTCTTGTGCTTTGAATGGATCTTGAAGTGACAGGCTCATTTCCTTCTTTTTTGAGGAAATATCTGCCAGATACCCAAATCTGAATAACTAGAGTTTGCCTGTCAGTCAATCTTTCAAGTAAAAATGACACTTCAGCTCGCCACTCAGTTTTCCTCAAGACAGCCATCTTACTTTGGTGTGCATGGTGCTGTATGTGTGTTTTCTACTTCATCACAGAGGATATTAACAAACGTACTCAGGGGCCAGATTTAATAAAATTATTTTTACTGCTCAACAATTATTTATGGAACATATAGCATATGCCATGGACATTCTGATGTGAAATTGCCTTTTTTTTTTTTTTAAACTGTGAATGTGGCAATGAAGAATACAGGGTTAACAGTACGTTTGGTGTCACTGCCTTGATTCATGCTAAGGCACAGGAGTTTTACCCACCACTGCCTTTTCACCATCAGTGGAAAAATCAAAGGGAAAAAAACCAAATAGCATTTTAGTATTATGCAAATAGTTTTGGCCTTGTGGACCTTTTTGCATGTTGTTTCCTTATGTACAAAGTGCTGATTTGCTCTCGTCAACATCACTGGGGTTCTGAGTGTGGGTGGAGGTTGTCCCAAGGTGCCCTGTTCCGGCAGGGCTGACTTACTCTTGCTGTGTGACTGCAGATCTGGAGCAGCAACCACTTGTTCCCCAGTGCAGAGGAAGCCACTCTTTTCCTTGGAACACTGGATACCATTTTCCTCTTCTCCTACGCTGTGGTAAGTTTTTGAACTCTAGGGTTTTACGTTGAGGAAAGATGTAAAATGACTCCAAACCTTATGAAGTTGGTAAAGGATTTTGAATATGCCGATTGAAGAGAGTTCAGTATTGCTGTAGTTTATATCCATCCATCCATCCATGTATTCATTCATCCATATGACAAATATTTTTTGGGCACCTAGCATGTGCTGGGTACTTTTCTAGTCAGTGGGAATTGATCAGTGAGCAACACAGGAAAAATCCCTAGCTTTATAAAGTTTCTATTCCTGCATGGGAGCTGAGGGAGACAAACAGCGACAAGATGCTCTAAATAAGTAAATTACCGAGTGTGTTCAAAGGTGGTGTGTGCTGTGAAGAGTCAAGCAGGGAAAGGGGATCGATCATCCTGGGTGGGGTTGTTGTTTAAGTAGGATGGCTGGGAAGGACCTCACAGAGAGCAGAGACTGGAAGTGGGTTAAGTGAGGTCACTGTGTAGCGGTTCAGGCTAGAGGTACAGATTTCAGAGCCCTTCGCAAACAGATGATTTTTTAATCAGCCTTTTTTTGTGGGGGTTGGTAATTAGGTACGTATGTATGTATGTACGTATGTATTTAACGGAGGTACTGAGGATTGAACCCGGGACCTTATGCATGCTAAGCATGCGCTCTGCCACTGAGCTATACCTGCCCCCCTCTGATGATATGTTAACTTATGAGACTAGATGAACGCATCAAGAGAGTTGGTGAGGACAGACAAGAGGTGGGAAGACTGAGCCAGGGGACCTTCTGGTATTTAGAGGTGGGAAGATAAGGGATGGGCCAGGGAGGCTGAGAGGGAGCAGGAGAACCAAGAGACGGTGGCGCCTGGGAGCCAAGCCAGGATGGCTGGGGCTGGCTCCGGCTGAGGTGGTGTCCTGGGGTTGGGCAGTCAGATCCTCTGTCTGGTGGTCTGGTGGTGGGGAACGCCTGTGCTGACTTCTGAAGGGGAGCAGTGGGACCTGTGGAGGTGACAGCGGACCTGTGTGCTGTGGGAGCAGCCTGACCTTTCTCCCCTGCATCTTACTGTCTTTAAAATGTGGCCAGTTATAGAGAAGCCCTTTAGGTACAGATGTGCAGTACTGGGTGAAAGTCCTGAAGCCGTCTCCGAGTGCTTATGTGGGTAATTACTAGAATATTTTTTCTTTGAAGAGGAAACTTACAGACACAGTTGGAACAGATCTTGGGTCGTTTAGCCTAGCTTTGCACCCCAGCATTTTCTGTACAAAATCCCAATGTAGGATCATTCTGCTTTGGCTGGGGCATCCCAGTGATGCTTCTCATCAGGCCTTTCACGAAGTATTTGAAGAAGCCCCGTGGTCTAGTGGAGCGACTAGCTCTACCACCATCCTCGAGCTGGGTTAAACTTGGTATCAAAATGGAATTTAACCTTATTTTTTGATATTTAGTTTCCTTATCTATGGAGTTATGATGAGAACGCATATCTCTAAAATTAAGTAGGTCTGGGAGATAAAAGATAAGAGCCATGAAAAAATCAGTGATCACAGTTCTTCATATTGAGCTGCATTTCCTTCTGTAACTTCCAGACACCTTACATGCCTTTGGAGCAACACAGAATAATGCATTGGTTCCCTAAGCTGAAAGATAATTGACAGCTTTCCTTCAGCCCCGTTATTATATGTAGCATAAGACCATGTGAATTGGAGCTTTAGAACATAGAATCTCCTCTAGTGCTTGCAGGTGCTTCTTTTGAGGTTGTGAAAGCTTGATGATAATGAGGGAGAAACATTTATTATGACATTTATCCCTTAAATTTCTCTAATGTAGATGTATTTATCCATCTATATTATATCCATTATGTAGTCAGTTTATTAGAAACACTCATTTCTGGATTTAGGTATTTAGTCAAGACATTTATCTATTTTACATATTTGTGGAAGAAACTTAAAAGTGTGTTGCCCTTGCTCTTTGGTCTGCCTTGCTGCCGTGACCTCGGCATTTTAGTTCCTGCCACTCAGTGGGAGGAGAGCAGAAGGCAGAACACTTGTACCTGTCTTCAACTAAATACTGTCTCTGCCTCCCTACTCCTTGCCTCATGATGTCATGAAACCCAAGGGTCAGATTAAACAGGCAGCATGTGTGCCCCCAAAGCTTCTGTTCTGACGGACGTGTTAATAACACATCTTTAGGCAGAATGCAAATGCCCGAGCAGAATCCCTTTGGGAAAGCAGGTAACTGATGTTTAAGAGTAAATCTGTTCTAGAAGGTGAAATATATTTATGGGCTTGTTTTATTAGAATGATTCTTGGATTTTCCTTCGTCTCCTTTTAGGCAGTTGGGGATCAAAGAGAACAAAAGTTTGCACTGAATTACATGTCCTGGTGCATGAGGGGTTTACAGGATAGTGTGCAGAAGCCACTGCTATTTCATGAAACATTGGTGAAACTGATACAGACGGCGAGTCTAGGCATGAGAATGAGGTTTAATTTTTGTGTTTTGTTTGCCTCATTTGCTTTGTAGTGCATCTTGCTTTTTCCAGGCTGTGGTGTTATCCAGAGCTGTAAAATAAAATGCTTTGTTTTTAGGGCCTTTTCATCAGCGGTATTGTTGGGGATCGGCTCAATTTGCGATGGGTTCTGTCCTTCGGCATGTGCTCTTCTGCACTGGTGGTAAGTTAGAAGCTGTGATTATTCTTACTACTGTTGCTCTTATCTCGGTCAGGTACTTGAGAATCTGAGCAGTCCCCCTGCTTCTATATGTAGAATGGAATAGTAAAATTAGTCTTCAGTTTTCTGATCCCTTGTGTGCCTTTTCAGTTAGGAAGGTCCTTAAAGTACAATTTCGATCACGCGCCTTCCTTGATTCTTAGTCACCAAGAAAGTCAAAGCGTGACTAGCGTGGCATCCGATGCTGGAGAGGACCTGGTCGCAGCCCGCCATCTCTGCAGTCGGGTCTTTCCCTGTGCCTCACCTCCGTGCTCTCACCCAGCCACACTACCTTCTGGGCCCCAGCACCTCCTGCTCCTTCCTGCAGCTCTGCTGTTGTTCCTGCTGTCGTCCTGCCTTGAATGGCCCTCTGTTCAGCTCTTCACAGTCTCACTCAACATCTCCTTCAGATCATTGGCCAAATGACACTTTCATAATGCCTCCTGTTACCGACCCCACTTCTGCAAGTAATCATTCCCTGTCCTGAGCTCCTGTGCCTGAATTTCCTTGAAGGCGCTCGGCCTGCTTATTTCTGTATCAGTCTTGCTTTCCTGCGGAGTCTGCAGCATAGTCATTAAGATCACAGACTTCTTGAGACCTGCACTGCCTGTGTTTCAGGCCCTCTGCTGCAGTTTCCAGCTCCCGTCTCTCTGTGCTTCAGCCTCCCCATTTGCACACCTCCGCCCAGGGTTGCAGTGAGGCTTCTGTGAGCTACTGTGTGTAGGGCATTTGGTGTGGTGCCTGGTACATTAAGTGCTCTAGATGGCAAGACCCACATTTTATTCATCTTTATTTGCTTACAGGCATCTGGTGATAAATTTTTGTTGATTGAATGAAAGCATGGAGTTTAGTCAGACCCTATTCTTGTTTTTCAGTGTCTGTCATTTGTGTAAGTTTTGTCTTTATATTTTAGAGACTGAAGCACTTTATTCACAAACTGTTCATCCACACATATGTACACAATATTTTTAAACCTATATACATACTTTCTTGGGTTTTTTCACATTTCTTTGAAAAATTGAAGTATGTACGTAAACGCTTCCTTATTAGTGTATAGTTCTGAATTGGTGACAGACAAGTGTAGTTGTGTAACTACACCCCTCCTACCCCCAGCCTCTGGCAATCACTTACCATTTTTCCGTCCTTACAGTTTTGCTTGTTCCAGAATGTCATGTAACTGGGGTCATACGGTATTACACATACCATTTGTAAACCCATGCCAAATATTCCCAAAGGACACTGACTACAGATAAAAGGCCCACTCGAGCACAGTGCCTGGGAAGAAGCAGCCGCTGATGAATGCCACTGAACTGTTGAGCCGATCACAAGTTTCACCGATGCTCTTAGTAGCTGCAGTGATAGCAGCGGGTGCTTCCCTGTCCCCACAACGTGCCTGGCGCTGTTCTGAGTGCATTTACGCACGTGAACTCGGGTAGTCCCCGGAGTGGTCCTCCATCACCAAGAGGAAGTAGGCGAACAGTGCGGTGAACAGTGGGGACTCACCCGTTCAGAGTTGAAAACCAGGTTGGAGGGAAGACCCTCACTGCGTTTTATGCTGTTTGCCGTCTCTACCTCTGTGGTCGGGGCGGTTTGGTGTGCATCTCACTCAGTGCTGCTCTGAGCAGGAGCATCTGAAGACTCAGCTACACGTCCCTTGGGCTCAGATGCTGACTGTGTCCCTCACGTGGGGCTTCGCGCGGGGCGTCGGTGCGGATGTTACATGTGTCTTTTTCTCCCTCCTTCTCTAAGGTGTTTGTCTTTGGCACCCTCACAGAATGGCTGCGTTTCTACAACAAGGGGCTATACTGCTGTCTGTGGATTGTGAACGGCCTGCTGCAGTCCACCGGTTGGCCCTGTGTGGTTGCCGTCATGGGCAACTGGTTTGGGAAAGCTGGGTATGCCACTTCCTCTTTCATTTCCCTATTTAAGTAGTTTTAATATCGGATTGTTCAGACTTGTCAGAGTCAATTAACTCGATCCCTTCGATACCACCCACATCTTCTCTCTGTTTTAGAAAGTTAGAGTTGCAGGGAGAGAGGGCTTCACGTCGAAGTATGTTGGAAATGGTGTGGACCTCAGAGATGGTCTAGCCTGGTGAGACACGTTCACAGCCCTCCCCTGGTCATGGTCAGATTGGAGTGTGGCTGAGGTGTATGTCTCAAAATTTTTAAAAAACCATCCCTTTACAGAACGTAAATAACACAACATAGTAACATAAATCTCATGTGCCATCTCATCAGTGTGTCTTCCTGTAGGTTTGCATTCCCTTTTTTGGAGACTCAGTGATCTAGTTTAACTTTCACTTAAAGATAAGGAAACTGAGGCCAGAAGTTATCTGTGGAACTTGCCTAAGGTCACATCGCGAAGGCTCCAAGGAGATGCAGATGAAGAATGCCAAACGTTGGGGCTTAGTTAGATTGGACATTTTCCTCCTAAAGCTTTGAGTAGTTGTCAGTTGTATGTGAGTTTTTGTGTGTTTTGTGTGCCGTGGCGTGGGCACCTGCTGAAGTGTCTTCTGGGGCACCCAAGAAGGACCATACTTACTTTACGGGATGGAGAGTAAGTTGAGATACTCCAAGACTGGGCTCGATTGTTTATCATTGCATGCATGCCAGAACTCATCGAATTGTACATTTTGAACACGTACAGCTTATTATATACCATTGAGTTTTGGCATGCAGACACCTGTAAAAGTATCTTCCCCATTAAGGTAATGACATAACCATCAGCCCCCAAAGTTTCTTCTTGTCCCGTGATAATACTTCCCCCCTCCCGATTGCCATCTCAGGCAACCATTGATCTGCTTTCTGTCAACTTCAGATTAACCTAAATTTTTCAAAAACTTTATTTGAGATGACTGTAGATTTATTTATACTCTTTACCATTTTCTTGCATTGTCTGTTTTTCACATTGTTGAGTTTTGAGATTTCTTTATATTCCGGCTACAAGTCTTTTATCAGATAAGTGATATGCAGATATTTTCTCCCAATCTGTGGCTTGTCTTCTAAAATTCTCTTAATAATGTCTTTCAGTGAGTCCCAGGTTGAACTTCAGTGTAATAAAATCTTCGAGTTAGAAGAGACCTGATGTTTTGCTATTTGGGTGTACTTAAAAAAAAAATCTTAAAATAGAATGTTGATTCTTTGTAATGTGAGCCTGCACAGTTTTGGCCATTTTGTATTTGAACTGCACACGAAATCCCTTCTGATTCCGTCTTCTCTTTCCCGCTGTTCCCATCTCAGACGAGGAGTTGTTTTTGGTCTCTGGAGTGCCTGTGCTTCAGTGGGCAATATTTTGGGAGCCTGTCTGGCATCTTCTGTTCTGCAGTATGGTTATGAGGTAGGTATTTCTTTCTAGCTTTTTCTTGAATATATAAATAGATTTCTAATGTTTTTGAAATAATCTTGTGACCATTTAAAACTACTTAGAGCTACATCTGGGGCAATTTTTGTATTAAGAGTTGACAAACTTTTGGTAAATTCAAACACATTGAAAAAATTAGTCATGGAAAAACACCCGAGTCTCAAGACATATAATCAATTGGGGAAAAGTATTTGCAACTCATGTTACAGATAAAGAGCTAATATCCCTAATATATAAAGAGTACACACAAATTGATAAGAAAAAGACCAACAACACACTGAAAGAAAGGCAAAGGATTTGAATGTGTAGTTTATGAAAAAGAACTAGAAATGGCTTGTAAATGCACAAGATATTCCACTTCACTCAGAACTTATTCATTCATTCAATATATATTTTTAAGCTCCTCTAAGTGCCCTGAGGCAGTAGAGAATAGAGTCCTGGCCAGAAGAGACAACAGTCTCTGCCTTTATGGAATTTAGGTGTTAGTCGGCAGAGAAATGCAAGTGAAAACTGCACTATTTAAAAAAGAAGAAGAAATCAAAATTGTAGAATGGATAAACAAGATTACACTGTATAGCACAGGGAAATACAGACAAAATGTTATGATAAATCACAGAGAAAAAAATGTGACAATGAGTGTGTATAGGTCCATGAATGACTGAAAAATTGTGCTGAACACTGGAATTTGACACAACATTGTAAAATGATTATAAATCAATAAAAAATGTTAAAAAAATTAAAAAAAATAAAAATAAAAAAATAAAAAAGAAGAAGAAAAACCTATACTGTATTACTTACTAGATGGGTAAAAACCCCAAAGTTTGATAACATGTTGTGCTTGTGAGGATGTGACAAAGCAGGCATTGCGGATGGGAGAGTAAATAACCTGTCTTGGGGTCAATATGGGACTGTTGATCTAAATTCCAGCCACTCTGGCCAAGCAGTCCAACCTCCACAAATTAATCCCACAGGTGAATATATTTCAACATCTACGAAGAGAGATATCTACAAGGTTATTTATTTCTACTTTGTTATAGCAAAGGATTGATAACAAATGTCAATCAAAAGGGAAATAGTTAAACGATGGTACACCTATTCAGTGGAATTCTGTGCAGGTATGACAGAAGTAGGCAGCTCTCCGTGTACTGATGGGGCGAGGGTTCACTGGTGTGTTAAGTGAAGGAAGCAGGGGTGCATGACCTTGTGTATTGAATGCTGCCATTTGTGTGAAATGGAGGAAGAATTAAAGAGCATGTGTATGTATTGACTTGTATGTTTCTAAAACTACCTCTGGAAAGTAAAAATTAATTATTAAATATATGGTTATATGTTGGGAAAATGAGAACCGAATAGATGGGAGAAGGGGTGAGAGGGAAGGGTTTTCCTAACACCTACTGTTGGTCACTTGAATTGTCAATGTATGGCCTGTTAAAAAACCTAGTAATTAAGAGAGTTGCTCTTTTAAAAAGTAGGTAAATTTGTAAACAGCTCACCACCAAGTGTTTGGTGCCTGAAGAATTTCGGTCTGGTTAGGGTCAGTGGGAAGTCCTTCCTGGGCTCCTGTTTCTAGGCTTCTTACCTTCACACCTGGATTGTACTAACAGGGCTCAGATGGGAATTTCGGTTCACCCTACATGCCGTTCCCAAATTTGACTGTTGGAAACACTAATTTCATCACTGACTTGTTAAAAAATGTAGACTGTCTACCCACATCAGGCTCTGTTCTCTCCTAAATAAAATCCAGCGATGCAGCCTGGCTTTTGAGTCTTTCATCTTGATAGCACCTTTCCAAATCAGTTTTCTTCCTTGTTACCCCAGCAGAAGCCCTCAGCTTCCACCATGCAGGAGCCCTTCGTCTCCCACCCACCATTACCTTTTCTTCAGCTGTGCCAGGAGAGATGGTCAATTGCAGTGACTTCCAGCTCTTCCTTAAAGCATTGTGTCCCTGCTTCATCCTCTGTATCTGCTTCCTTCTGTTCCTGTATGTGTTTCCTGTTAGGTCTGGGCCTTCTCATCTGTGGAGCCACATGCTGCCTTATGTTATTGTTTTGTGTATTGTTTAATCCCCTCAACTGGAAAATATCTTTGAGGGCAGATACTATCTCTTATGGGAGGCTGTGATGTAAACAGTGATTTTTTTAGAGCTGGTTCTGATTTCACAATTGTAATGGTACCACTTGGTGTCCGGGGGGTGTTCATTATCCGCTCTGAGCCCCGCAGAGTCATTGGGAAAAACCTGGGAGAAAACACAAAACACCAGCTCAGTGCCTGGCACAGGCCGAGCACTCAGCGCTCATTTCCTTCCCAGTCTCCCTGCCCTCCCTGCTGCACCCCCACCTCCGCACATGTGCCTCTAATGAGTATCCCAGATGTGTAAGGAGCCCTTTCCCTCCCCCTCCAGTATGCCTTCCTGGTGACGGCGGCTGTGCAGTTTGCTGGTGGGATCATCATCTTCTTTGGACTCCTGGTGTCACCGGAAGAAATTGGTGAGAAGAAGCTGTCTCTTCTCTTCTGATCGTCTTACTATTTTGGGCAAAGAGAAACCTGTGGCCAGAACAGCCAGTCTCTTTCTTCCTGGGAGAACTGTGAGCTGCTTTCAGTGAATTAAAGGAGCAGTGTTCCTGTTTGTGTCCGCAGACTCTGTGGCCTCGCCTGGCACAGCTGCAGGTGTTTGAGGGAGTGAGCCTCACTGTTTTATAGACTCAGGGAAAACTCATCATTTGCAAATGGTCTTTATAATTGAGACACTGGCTGGAAATTAGCATGGATGTATTTCCAATTTCACTCCTGGAGACAGATTTCTTTTCCTACATAAAAATGATTTAGGTGATACTTCTCTGTGGTTAAATAGCGAACGTGTGCAAGTGAAAACCACAGAAACAAATAGATGGAGGGCTCTTCTATCCTTTGAGTTTATGAACGAGACACATCATTAACCTTTTTTTGGTACATAAGAGTGTTTGATGTAGTTGAGAAAGCATAGCTTTGAAGCCAGATAAAGTAGAATTGGAGACCTGGGTTTGTTGTTCATTAGCTAGGTAACCTTAATTGACCTTAGTTGACCTTGGACTCTAAACCTTAGTGGCCGCTTCTGTAAAATGGATATAAAAATAACATTGACCCCATAAGTAATCATACATACAAAGCACTTACATGCAGTACCAGGCACCTGGAGGGCACTCTCTAACTGGTGGCTGTCACTGTTGTTCTAGGTCTCCCAGGTATTGAGGCAGAAGAAAATTTTGAAGAAGACTCACACAGGCCATTAATTAATGGTGCTGACAATGAAGATGAATCTGAGCCTAATTATTCAATCCAAGAAGACGACACTGCTTCCCAAGTCAAGGCAATAAGCTTTTATCAAGCGTGCTGCCTTCCCGGAGTTATACCGGTAAGGACTGTTCAGATCTCCTCACCGTAGCCAGTGAGACACAGTGGCCTGGGTGTTAACTCTGCCTGGGATGAAGCATCTTGAAGTATTAGCTTCTCTTTGAGACTTTGTTTTAGGGATATGTGTTCAGAGGAGTAGCGCAGGGTGGCTCTCAGCTTGTTTCTGTGTTGGTACCACTTGAGATTTTATCTGATGTCTAATGCAGGGGTTGGCAAACCTTTTCTTTGAAGAGCCCCCAATGTTGTCAGCTTTAGGGGCACCGTACAGTCTCTTCCACACCAGACAACCCTGTAGAGCGAAAGAATCCGTGGACAGTGTGGGGCAAATGGGCCTGGCCAGGTTTGGCCCGCGAGCCTGAGTTTTCTGACCCTGATCTAGTGTTCGAGTGAGAAGGCAAAATTGATATTTTTAAATATGCCTTTTGGCCTGCTGCAGTATTATGGAATTACAAGTAGACCGAGAGGGATTTGGAATGGTTGGTTAAGTCTGCCTTGTTTGCCTATATTCTTACCATTCTAGTGGGAGAAAAACGTTTGCCCCTCTGCTAAGAGTGCTAGAGCAGAATGCTCCACAGCATTTCTTGGTAATGCATTCCAGTGTTTCCACAACCTTTGCAGTCAGGTTTTTTTTTCTAACGTCTAAACTGAATCCCTTCTGCTGCAGTTTATCTGTCTTGATGTTTCGGGCGCCCTAGCACGGGAGTGGAAGTTAAGAGGCCTAGGTTATGTTTCCAGCTTACCCACTAACTCTCTGTGAGGCCTGGGGTAAGTCACTCAGCCCGTCCTTGTGTCTCAGTCCCCCTTCCTCTGGAACAGAAAGTCTGCCAGCCCGCCCTGGGGTCTGTAACGTTGGGTTATTGTGTTATGAAAAAGCACCTTTTAAATTTTGTGTTTAATGGTGCTTTATAAATGTAATCCCTCCGTTAGATTCAGAGTCTGTGGGTTGTCCTGTTCCCTTCACCTGTGTCCCTAAGCTAAGAGAACTGACATTTGCAAACAGATGGTTTAAGTATGAGTTAAAATTTAACTGTTAAGTCCCCATGGTTCTTTAACCAAAAGATGATGTATAATACAACAGGCTTTGGGCCTGTTCTTATGCTAATCTAATGATTAGCATTTTTTAAACTAGTTATTCAAATTTTCTGCTGGTAATAGTGTAATTTCGGAGACAGAACTTAGATTTGTTGTGACAAACAGGGACCTCTTTTGCTATTCCTTTGTGTTTCACAAGCTATTGTTCCCTGACACGGGCAGGGTGTAAAGGAAACCTAGTTAACTTAATTCCTTTGTCTTTGTGGCAGGCTGTCTGGACAAAATGCAGTCATGACGAGGAGTCGGCTCTCTGGGGGGTGGCTGCTGCCCTGCCAGGGAAGCTGTTTTAAAACAAGTGATACCTAGGGAATAACTGGCAGTTCCAGGGAAAAGAATATACTAGCCAGACACCCTTTGAAGTCAGGCTGTCTGTTCCTCCCCCTTTTTCCTTTGATGCTAAATGTCAGGATTTCCTGGTAATAATGTGTTGAATATAGGAGCCTCAGCCCCAGCCCCACTGCCATCTTAAGGCGGCGGCAACTTTCATTCCTCAACGTAGAGCCACAGGGCCATGACAGTCGTGTTCTTTCATTTTTGATGCCCAAAGATGCTCTCTGCTTTCCCCCCCGATGTGGGACTATAAAGCTTTTGGAAACCATAATGTGAAAATAGTTTTCATGTCGATGCTTTTCTCAGACCTTGAAACGTAGTCCAGTCACATTAACTTCGCAGGAAGCAGAGGAACCAAAACAAAAGCTCGGCTGCTTGCAGTCAAAGCTGTGGTGTTTACTGGAGTCCTTTGCTTGTGGGCAGTGCTGGTTAGTGGCATGAATGCCTTTTATCTCTACCTAAATAAAGAAATATGAGTATGTGTCCTGCCTTACAGGTTCAAAACACTGGTTTGCTTCTACCAGAGAACTGAAAGGGGAAGAAAGTGGGGACAATTACGAAATAGTCCTATGTGATGTGTTTTCTGTCCCAAAGGCCTGCTGTACTGCCTGTCTAGACGCTAATGGGGATGAAGAGACGGGGGAGACTAGGTAAAGTCAGGCCAGTGGGAATCTGTAGGAATGTTTAATTTTAAAATCAGGTGCTGTTCATCCCAAACTCCTCCGATTTGTTTTGCTTTTTAGTTACATTAAATATTGTGGTCTTGCTGTGCTGTTTGTTCTTGCTGAGAGTTAGATGCTTTTCTTGCAGTATTCACTGGCCTACGCCTGCCTGAAGCTAGTGAATTACTCCTTCTTCTTCTGGCTGCCCTTTTATCTGAGTAACAACTTCGGGTGGAAGGAGGCCGAAGCCGACAAGCTGTCCATTTGGTACGATGTCGGAGGGATTATAGGTAATGCCAGAGATGCATCTTTTAATTTCATAGGAGTTAGTCACTAGTCATATTTTACTGGTTATGAAATCAGGCACCATTTAAAGTTTTATTACTTTTTCCACAACCATTTTTCCTAAACTGTCCTACCGGTAAATAGCCAAACCCTTAAAAAAAAAAGAAAGGAAAGTTCATAGAAAAGAAGACCCAGCTCACGGCAGCCCTGTGGTTTATAGGGCGCTTTTTTCTCAGTCCTGTGTTGACGGATCAGTTCTTTTGTCTCGGGAAGCACAGGGATGTTTCTCTCTGATCTCTTCAAGTGTAACCCTTTTGTACACTTTCAGTGATACCTTAGCTCTAAAGCTAATTGTACGTCAGAGGTCCAAGTTAGAATGTGAATGTGTTCATTTTATCTACCGCTCACATTTCCTACCATCTACAGCCAAAGAAGAGAAAATATGAGCTCAGTGCATTGTATGTCAGATCATGAAGGTAGGAATAACAGCAAGGGTTAATTTTTTAATTTTGCAGTTGCTTCATTGTACACAGCAGATTTTATTAGTGACTTTTTTGCTATATCTAGAAGTGTAAACAAGGAAGTAGGAGACGATTACATCAGGCAGATGTACAGAGTGCATTTTAGTGGCTGTTACTTATATGGCTGTGGCAAAACCTTAATATCCTTTCTGTGATGTTTACCTTTAGGAGTCAGGTAAGACTAGAGTGCCCCGAACACCTGAAAGCACAGTGTCTCCTTAGGTGATCCACTGTTAGCATTTGAACATGTGCCTTTGTTCTTAGATCCAGAGCCAAAGGTGAGGTTAGACCTGAACATCCTTCTGTGTCCTGCTGTCTGATGAGGACGTGCCAGGTGTCCCACTGCTCCTAGACTACTCCAAACAGGACTGTGTCTAAGTGTGACCTTGTTGCTTGAAGGATCCACATCACCTCTTTTTAAACATCCTGACCTGTTAGTTATTACCAAGCCATAACTGCTGCATTTAATTTTAGTGAATATTTATGTTCACTGTTACTATCAGCCTATGAGGCACAGTCCTCAATTCGTTATCGTTTAAAATAGGAAGCAGAAAAATCAGGAAAAGCCTTCATAGCTGGTTTGAGAAGGGAAAGCAAACAGCAGGGAACAATGGGGTGGCTCGAATGATTTTTCCTTGTTTCGGTGTCTGGTTGGTGGCGTCCTGTCCCCATCAGTCATCATGGCGGTTAACAGGTAATCTTTCTAAAAGGAAATTACGGAGGAAACTTTTTAGAAGAGTCTGCTATCTTTTTGGCTAGACCAGTGTTAGGATCCTGATAGCCGGTAGTGGGTCTGTGGGAAGCAAGGGCCAGGTGGCTGAGCGAAATTTTAAGCGATTTTAATTGGGTTGTGCTCTTTGTGCTTGAAGGTGGAACTTTGCAAGGCTTCATCTCTGACGTGCTACAGAAGAGGGCCCCGGTTTTAGCTCTCAGTCTGCTCCTGGCAGTCGGGTCCCTCGTTGGATATAGTCGTGAGTATTCCCTTGCAGTTTCATCGTTTTCCTGATCCCTTAGGACTAAGGCATTTATTTGCCGTAAGTCAGTGCCAGCCCTGGGGAGATCGTTGAGACCGGCCACCAAGGCATCAGGTGCGACCTCTGTGTTGTCCTGTAGGTGCCTGGTAAGAGTATCGTCACATAGTTTTATTCGTGTTGGGGAGGAAGCTGGCGTCGCCCCTGCTTTGTTGGTTTGTTTAAAGCTTGCCTGGGAGTGTGTACGCTTTGTTCGAGGGTAGGCTCCAGAGGGGCAGCCTTAGAGCCAATAAAACAATAAAAGGGACAAGGTTTCAAAAGAGGAAGGATGGTAATTAGTAGGTTTGGTATATGTTCCTTAAGATGCTGCTGAGATGGAAGTAGCGCTTTTCTGTAGCTTTTAGGAGTCCCGTTAGCTTGAGCACCAGCGAGAGGCGGACATTCCAGATAAACGCCGGAGGAGGCGGTGATGGAGCTGTGTCTTTTGTTGTCTCCGGGAGTGACCTGTGTGTGCTGTTTGGTGGAGGCACGTGTGATGCGCTCTTCACATCATTGTTCTGTGTCTGTCTGACCTCGCAGGTTCTCCAGACGACAAGTCCATCAATGCACTTCTGATGGCTGTTACAGGTATGGTGATGGCTCCTCTATAAACAGAAAGGAAACCAGGAACCTGATTTCTCCCTCAATTTGAGTAATACTAAAACCTTAGTTAGAGAGCACGCAGGTGGTAACAGGAAAGACGCCTCATCCAGACTCTCATTTCTCTGCTGTTACATGACCTCCTCAGTCCTGTTGTTACAGAATCAGTCCCTTTTGACAGAGTTTGTCTAAGGTTTTTGGTTGCTGCCCCACCCTCTTACTATTACTTCTGGAAGTGGCTTAGGAAGACACCACACTGGAAGCCAGGTCACTAGCTTTCAAAAAGTCCAGTATAGCTCCTGTGTGGGAATTGGCCAGTATTTCATTGCTTGAGCCTCAGATGAAGCAATTGAGTTAAGGACCATGTTTTAGAAAAATTCTTATTTTTAAACTTGAGATTGTAAGACAGTGGGAGCTGCTCCTGCTGAATGAGACACATGGACCTGATCCAGCCCCATGAACAGATTCACCTGGGCCACCTCTGCTCAGTTTGGACAGCCGCACTGAGAGCAGTGGCAGGTGGAACCCTCTGCACCGTTTAAATCACTTTTTCTCTTCTCCCTCTTTTTTGCAATGTTTGTTGAATTTGGGTAGTCACATGCTCTACAAGGCACCTCTGCTGTAATGGAATTTGACAAGCTAGTGCAATTAGTTGTTAGTGAATGCACACTTCACAGGATTAGAAAGGTGTGGTCACTGTATTTTCTGTATCTTTACTTTCCATGAAATATACTGGAGGGTCACATAATTCACAGAGGGATTTCAGAAAAGTAGCTGCTAACTAGTTTGAAGATGATACTGTCTGGGGAAGTTTTCCATTTTTTGCTGGTTATTTTTTCCCCTTCTCTTCGTTTTTCTCCAACAAACTGATTAAAATATTGGGACAAGATTGCCTTATTCAGTAGATTCCTGGTGGTGTTACGAATAGTATCTTAACTAAGAACATGTTCTGTTTATGACTTCAGGATTTTTTATTGGTGGACCCTCTAATATGATTAGCTCTGCTATTTCTGCGGACCTGGGCCGTCAGGAGCTGATCCAAGGGAGCAGTGAGGCTTTGGCGACCGTCACAGGGATTGTTGATGGGACGGGGAGCATCGGAGCTGCGGTGGGCCAGGTGAGAGAGCAGGAGAGGGGTTGACGTTGAGTGTTCAGTAGCTGTTCGGCGGTGGAAGGGTTTGTACCAGCCCGCTGGGCCGCGGTAGGTGGCACTCTTGCGCTGTAGTGTGCTGTACAGGAAGCCTTGGGCTGTAGTCTCCTCTGAGGCCCAGCTGATGTGACCTAATATGGAAGGTCCCTCTACATTTTTCAATTCCTTCTTTCCACTTTTACTTCCAGATTCTTCCTGTCTAGAAGTAAGCTAGCACCTCATAAGACAGGTCCTTCAGTCCCTGCCCTTTACCCCCCCTTCCAACCTGAGCTTGGCACTCCAAGGAGGCCATGAGACACATCCTTCTTATTATCCCCCACCTGACACGCAGGCCCTACCTCCTCTCCCCGACCAAACACACACCTGTGCACATGGTCCTCAAATGGATTCCCACCAGAAATTGCCATGGACTCTGCAGCTGCCCTGAGTCACCTTCTCTGCTTCCTACAACTGTGTCTCAAAAGGCAGTTCATAAGGGGAGGGTATAGTTCAAGTGGTAGAGTGCATTCTTAGCATGCACAAGGTCCTGGGTTCAATCCCCAGTACCTCCTCTAAAGATAAAATGAATAAATAGGCCTAATTACCACCCCCTCCAAAAAAATTAAATAAAAGGCAATTCATAAATGTCTAACGGCAGAATCATCTGGGATGCTCATTAAAGTACAGAACACTAAGCTTACTGTAGACTTACTGCATCAGAACCTGGGGAATCTGTATTTCAGCAAGCCTTCCTGGTGGTTCTTATGCACACTGAGGTTTGAGATCTTCCAGGCTAAGCTTGGTCTCCTGTAGGTAGTCAGAACTGTTCAAATCGATCTTTTTTGCTTAAATCCAGCTTCAGAAAGATATCTCTCCTCTGGGATGATCATGAGCCCTGCCTCTCCTGCGGTGCACTACTCCAGGTCATTGAGTGCTAATTTTGCAAAATATCGATTTGAGAATCATCTGCAATGGATAAAATAGTTGAAACTGTGGGAGTGATATGATGTTTAATGGGGAAAGAAAATACGGGCAGAACCTTAGGGGATGCCCTGTGGTCAAAGAAGCAGAAAGCCAGAATTTGAGGAGCTGTGTTGTTACTGAGATAGGTCATAGATGTGGAGAGGTCAGGAGAAAGAATGGAGAAAAAAGGCTTGCAGTTTTGACAGTTAGGTCATTAATGGCCTTAAAGATTGGTACTCGGCCTAAATGGGGTAGATCAGCGGCGTTCGATTGCTGGTGGTTAGCGAGAGAGCAAGTACTGAGGATGATAAACCACTTAATACTGATCTCCACCTAGCCATAGAGTATATATTTATTTGTTAATGTCTGTCTCTCCCACTATAATGTGAGCTTCCTGAGGGCAGCATTCTATTTATTTTGTGTTCTACTGTAGCCCCAATATCGGGAACAGTGCCTGGCACATAGTAGGCCTTCAGATATGTGTTGCATGGTTGTAGAATGAGTGATTGATAGGATCAGTGAGTTCGCATATTTGATCACAACACCGTGGTTTCTTCACCAAACGGTGCTGGGAAAACTATATATACACATTGCAAAATAGTGAATTTGGACCCTTACCGTACACTGTGTACAAAAATTAACTCAAAATGGATCAAATACCTAACTTTAAGAGTTAAAGAAAACATAGGGATAAATCTTCATGACAGATATATACCAGTGGTCAGTAAGCACCTGAAAAGATTCTGTGTCCTTAGTCATTAGGGAAATGCAAATCAAAAAGATGAGCTACCATTTCATACCTAATTAAGATGGCTATAATTAAAACCAAATAACAAGTATTGGTGAGGATGTGGAGAAATTCCCATACATTGCTGGTGGGAATGTAAAATCGCATGGCTGTTGTAGAAAACACTGTGGTGGTTCTTCAACAAGTTAAGCATAAAATTACCATATGACCCAACAGTTCCACTCCAAGGTATGCTGTACCCCCAAATAATTGAAAACAAGGATTCAGATATTTGTATACCAGTGTTTTTTGCAGCATTATTTGTAATAGCTAAAAAGTAGAAACAAATCAAGTGTCCATTGATAGGTGAATGGATAAACAGAATGTGGTATGCCTATGCTATGGCATATTATTCAGCCATAAAAAGGAATGGAGTTCTGATTCCTACAGAATCAGAGTTCTGATTTGCTACAGCATGGTTGAACCTTAACAACATTATGCTAAGTGAAATAAGCCAGATGCAAAAGGACAAATATTGTGTGATTCCACTTAACATGAAATATCTAGAATAGGTAAGTTCATAGAGACAGAAAGCAGATGAGAGGTTATCAGGGGCTGAGGAGAGGGGGATCATGGGCAGTTACTGCAGAGTTAATGATAGTACAGTTTCTGTTTGGGGTGAGGGAAATTTTTGAGAATAGGTAGTGGTGATGATTGTGTAACATCATGAATGTATTTGATGCTGCTGAGTTGTGCACTGAAAGATGGTTATAAATGGCAAGTTTTATGTTAAATGTACTTTACCATAATTTTTAAAAAGAAAATGGGTTAATTGCTATTGGATAGATTTCAGTAATTGAAAATAAAGGAAAAGACTATGCTGTAGAGTGTCAAAGTCATACAGTAATCCTGTGAGCAAAGAGCATTATTGAAAAATGAGTGGTATACTTAAACGACGAACTATTTTTGAAAGCATCAATTGTAGGACCTTTCATTGGAAGAAGGAATGATTAAACGGAAGTGGCTTCAGGCTGTTCATCTTTTTCTCTTAATAGCAAAGTGAGTAAAAATAAACCTCCTGGACTTGAGCCTTTTGTTATGCAATTTTTGTATTTGGACTCTGCCCACTTACCAGACAAAGTTGTCAGTAAAGCTTAAATAGGCACATATATATGAAAGAGTTCCTTAAACTGTGAAACATTGTACGAATCCTAACTCTTCTTATTTTCTAGAAGACCCATGTGTGATCTGCTGTTTAGCTACTTCATTTTGCTGGTTTATAGAGGGTTATATTGTGATTCCTTTTCTCTCTTTTAGTATTTAGTGTCTCTGATCCAGGACAACCTAGGATGGATGTGGGTTTTCTACTTTTTCATTCTTATGGTAAGTGTGTGCTTTTCTTTTTTTCTTTTAACTATCATTTTTAAAAATTAGTTCAAAACATTTACTTAAATCATTTCTTAAACCAGAAAAACTGCTGATTGCTTTTAAAGATTCTTTTGTGAAAAGTAACATGTTGTTATTCTAAAAGACACATTCTTTTTTCAAGGAGGGAAAGGGCTGTTAGTTTGCCCTTGACCTGAGTCTAGTGAGTATTGTCATTTATAATTCTAGAAAAAATGATGAGAGACTTACATATGCCCAGGCATTAGTCAGGGTACTCTTCTGGGGTACTCTTGATCTGCTAAATATAATTTGGAAATTCTGAAGGAAATTACAGTGTACACCAAGCCACAAAGGGTTAAACAAGAAACACTGCTATAATTAACACTGTTGTGAAAGTTCTGAAATGAACCTTGAGTCTCTTGAGAAAATATCTGTTGTGCCTTACACATTCTTGGCTGAAACTCTACTTTCCAGGAAACAGCCAATACAGAATAAAGCCTTTTGCTTTTAAAACATTGCTCTCTGTTGAAAAAACATGTGACGTGCTCTTATCACAGTATAGAGACAGTGCTCGAGACAAGTCCACTACTAGAGAGTCTGGTGATGGCTTCGTTCACCGGGGGATGCATTTAGTATCCTGTTCCTAAATCTAGGGCATCCTAATTGGATGCAGCTTCCATCACCCCACGTCCAGATACTCTCCTCCAGCCTTGTTCAAGGAGCCTTGGGGATAGCTCAGCGCTGGAATTCCCTGGAGCTGCCTTAAGGCTTACATACTCTGCTGTCACAAAGGATGCTTTCTTCTGCCTAGCTGCTGCCTTCTGACTGTTAAAGACTGGTCCATATAATTCTATTTTACTTCTGATATCCATGCTAAGTAGAGGGAAATATTTCCTGATGAACCTGCTGGTATGATCATACTAGAAGTTGTAATAGAAAGAAAACTGAACTATCAGAAGAAATACTGTTTTAAATATGAGCTCCAGTATCAATTTTCTGCTCTACCTATAGCGAATTACGTAATTTGTGTACTTCAGTTCTTTATTTGGAGACTGTAATGTAACATGAAGTATTTTGTAATATTAATTATAACTTTCAAAATCATTTTCTAATTCATTAAAGATTGAGTTATCTTTGTACGAAGTCAAAAATGAATGTAATTGCCCAGATTCATTATTACGTTCAAAACGTGATGTTCTATCAGAATTGATTAAATTGTGGCTGCATATTTAATGCTTTTTTCTCTTCACAGACAAGTTGTACAATTCTATTTATTTCACCACTAATAGTGAGGGAAATAGGCTCTCTTTTGCAAAGACGACAAGCTCGCATATTGAGTGAGTGACGGATGCCCACAAAAGAACAACAGGAGACCCGCCAGGACGGTAATTTCTAATCTGCCCTATTGTGGGGTGGTCTTAGGAGCTCCAGCGTAGCCTCGGATTGTCAAGCCTCTTTCAGCAGTGTCAGCCACCTGAGATGCTGACCGGACTGAAGGCTGGGAGGTTTTTCTACACTACAGCAATTACTGTTAATGATTTTTATCGTTGTTTCACAAACGTACTGAATGGCCTAGGACTCTTCCAGGGTCTTTGCTGGCCTGTGGCGGTGTATCCCTTCAGCGCTGAATGCTGCATTGGGCTTGGACCCTTGTTCTCCAGCCTGGAAAGCTGAGTGACCGCGAGGCAGTCATGCGCGGCTTCTGTCGACGACATATGTGCTCCATGAATAGAAAGGATGGCTGCGTTTTGCTTTGGGAATGAGTTTGCAGAGAGTGGTTCATCTTTGAAGCACCAAATCCTGATCAAGTGCTCCAGCTGGATCCAGCATAAGCCTGCCTGGGACAGAGGATCCCTTAGTTAACTGCGGTGGGAAAAAGCACACTACATGTTGATGGGCTCAGTCACTCTGGATCTCCTCTGAGGTCGTTCAGCTGCAGAAGCAGACGTATCTTCAAATTATTGTCAGCTTCTCCTCTGCCTTCATTCAGAACTATCCCTGACTCCTGGAAGCTCTTAGTCTTCCTTTTAAGGACCATAAGGTACATCAGTTGTGAACATTCCAGTGTGTAACTTATGACCGAAGTACTCGGCCCCAGACTTGTTCTCTGGGACTTCAGGATCCACTAAGAAGCTGCTTGGCTTCCGGTTTTCAGAGGATTGATCTCTGCCACAACCGGGTTCCTTGAATCACCTCAGCAGGAGACTAGAATTAGAATAGAAGGATAGACCTTCAGGCCCTGTAAACGTTAAGCGTGTGACACTGAATCACATTAATGGATAACTGGGCCTGAGGGGTGTCTAGGTGTCCATTCTTTAGAAGTTTGTAGCGTACTTGTCCTCAAGACTGTGAATTCTGTACTAATTATCAATATTTTAAGGTTATTCTGTATATATATATTTTAAATTATATAAATGAACAGGCAAAAAATGTGCAATTTTGAGGGCTGCCTAATTTGCATTAGGTTAGGAAATATTTTTCAACCTCTTGCTTTATACTCTGAAATGTGATGTGTTTATGAACTTGTTAATGTTATTTAATCAAGCAGACTGCCAATCAGTTAATTGCTCATTACTGACAAAAAGGGAAAATGAAACACAAAAAGGGAAAATAAACTGACTTTTATAATAAATATCTGTCCATCTGGTTACTTTGTGTGTGCTCTGAGCGCCGCGATGTAGCACGTGATTCATGCCTCACGATTTCCTGCTGTTGAGCGTTCCCTAGTGACCACTCACTGACGCTGTGGTGTTGCCAGACCACAGGTTCTCCCCTTCTCAGTGCTGGGACGGCCCCGTTTCTGTTGCATTCTGTGGAAGCCTTGCCTTCCCCTTTGTGTAAGATTGTGCTCGGGTTGGATGAGTTGCCTGGTTCTAATTTAAGAATCTTCTGTAGATAAACCCCATTTTGATATTTAGCCTCTTTCTGACATTTGACTGAGAGAGGTTCCTCTCCCGCATCTTTGTATCCCATGGTCACATCTTCGTATCCTGACCCCAACCATTCTTTTCTTGCCCACTTTAAACTTAGCTGGGTGAGTGTCCCCTTGACCTCTCTGTAGACTGTAAGCTATACCTGAAATGAAATTATAAGTAAAATAACTGCTCAGCACTGAATGAAATTATACCTTGCACTGTATCTTGCAGAATAATAGGAAGTATATCTCCTGTTGTGGTCCTAGCAGTCCATGTACAAATTAGCCTTAAAGAACTCCTAAGAGTTAACTTCACTTTTTCCTTTTTTCCCCTGGAAGAAAAGGCCACAGTGAAGGCTAATTTGGAAAAGGATTCTTCTCTGACAGCTCAACCTCTGATACTTTCTGGGTTGAAATACAGTGCTCTGGCCTACCTTTCCTTGTCATACGGTGAGTTTTTTTCCCCTTCCTTCCATATAGTTTCAAAGGAAAAAGGCTTCTCTCCACTTCTACTTATTCTATTCCTCGCTGCTTCCTGGAGGACCAGTGTCCCACAGTCAACACAGACACACGAAAAGGGCCCTCTGTGTGTGTCTTGACGTTCAGCGGGATGGAGGATACAAGAGGCTCCCATCCCCTCCTTCCCTCCCCCTTTAAAACCCCAGAAGTCCTCCCTCCTCCCACACAGATAACTGATAAAGACTTTTCTTGTCCCTGTTAGTTCTTCTGACTTAGGTCCTGTTTTCCTCTTCACATCCAAACCCTCTGAGTTAACAGATGGTGTCTGCTCCCTTCCTGGCAGCGCTACTGACTTCCTCCTCGACTGGGTAACTGTGTCTGTTCGCCCAGGACAGTTCTGGTTTATGCCTGATGTTCTGACATAATTATCATATCATAATTATAGCATATCCCTTTGCTCTCCAGGTGTCCTAGTTTGGATATCTTATCCTTAACCTTTTACATTTTTTGCATCACCTTACAGAAACCGTGCAGCTGAAGGTCCTCGAATTCAGAGATTTTTTTTTCATCCCTTATCTTTCTTAAACCTTCTCTTACACTTGACACCAGTAACCACTTCATCCTTCCCAGGACTTTTTCTCTTTGGCTTCTGTGGCATTTTAATGGATTGAATCTTCCTAACCACCTGTCTTTTACTGGGGTCTCCTCTCTGTTCACCCTCTGCTAGTTGCCTTCCTACAGTAGGTGTCACCAGCTTTCCCAGACAAGCTGTTCTCATCATCTAATAATAGCTCCGTTAAGTACTTAGTGAATAAGAAGCCACTAAAGAGAGATATGGCATCGATTTATATAATGCTGTCCGGTGTTTAGTTAACAGCAAGTCTCAAGGGAAACAGGCTCAACTTACATAACCTCAGCCCTCCTCCCATCCCCACACAGCCCACTCTGCCAATTACCGACCTGAATGGTTTTCATGTTTTCTAAGTCACAAACCCTTTTGAGTCTTTGAAAGCCATTTACCCTTTCCCTGGATCAAAATGCACATATCTTTTTGTCTTTTTTTTTTCAGGAAGCACCTGTTCTATTTTTAATTAAAAAATGTTTAATTGTGATACAATACACATGATATAAAATGTACCATCTTAGCCATTTTAAGTGTACCATTCAGCAGTGTTGTCAGTGTTTTTTTTCCTACTTACTTACCTTCTTGTCTGTAATACCCCTTTTTTTAGCTCTTTGCTTTTGAATCTTAAGTTTTCTTTCAAGGTTTGGCCCAGCACCGTCTAGTCCAAGGGTCCTTTTCCCAGCCAGCCTTGCTAGCCCTCCACCGTCTCGCCTTTTTTGTTACTTACATCAGTATTACTTATTTGGTGCCTAGCTGTTTCTGTCTTACTTGTTTTTATATATAAGTCCCCAAGGAGATAATTGGTCTTTTTCTCCAATGCATAGTTCCTTGCATGGTTGGTACCGAGTACATGTTGATCGTGTTGGAAAAGGTGGAAGGAAAATGGGAGAGTGGAGGGTGGGCAGGGTGGGGTGTGGCTCCCCGACGCCGCAGGTGGCCCTTCCTCTTCTTTAAGTGCGACACTGCCTCCTGCAGCAAATGGCCAGCTTATGGGGCCAGGCCGCTTGGCAGAGAGCACATTCTCCTCTCCCTGGGCTCTCAGACCTGTCAGCTCTCCGGGTGAGCTCAGCCGGCCACAGGGAACAGTGAACTTACTGCTGCAGAACAAACCCCGTGCTTTTCAGGTTGCTGTCCTTATTCCTGCCACGTGTTTTCGCCTGGACTGCCCTCTTCCTTCCAGTTCTGTCCGTCCCTCTCAGCTCCTGCTGCCTCACTCCACGGAGCTTTTCCTCATCACCCCACAACTAACGCTCTTTCCTTCCTTTGAACTTCAGAGCTGTTAACAGGTAGACCACGCAGTCTGCCCGGGCTGAGTGATTTTACTGCCTTATTTCGTTCTCTGGTTGTTCCTGGTTAAGTTAGCACTTCCTCCATTAAATTGTGAGCGTGAAAGAGTTGGCTCCATGTCCAAGGTCGCAGCAGCCACCGAGTCAAGGCAGCCGGTCTACCTTCCCGCATGACCTCTGTACTTCCAGGCTCAGGCTCATCTTCCTTTCACTTTTCCTTAAATGCCCCAGTCATTTCTGATTACCAGGTTTGTTTCAGCATACATCCAGAATAAATCAGATTTGATATGAGATTTCTGTGTGCAAACATAGATAATACAAATCACTTAAATGGTTATACATGTGTTACAGGTAATTATAGGGGACTGTAAGTATATGTAACTGTTACATTTAACTGTACACACATGTACATACAGAGATATGTACACGTACGTCAACACTAATACTGGAAAGAGAATTCTGTGCTTGAGCCCCCAGTGGTGTCTTCCCATAATCACTAGACTACACTTAATGTGTGCACACGACTTTAAAAAGTGCCCTCCCACCCACTACCCTCTTTTGTCGCCACCGCATCTATGGAGGTAGGAGGGCCCGTGGTTCTATTCCTTAGATTAGAGAACGGAGGCTCAGGGATTTGCCCAGGGTCGCACATCTAATAAATGAGAGCAGGACTAAATCAGGACCCAGGTCTTCTGACTTCACGTCAGTGTTTTTTCTGTGTTGCCACACGGCCTCTTCTCATTTGACTTTAATCTTATCCTAGGCTGACTTCCAAGGTGTACGTTGTGCAAATGCTCCCGTCGTCAGCACCAGCGTCCTGCAGGTGAGCAGGCCCGTCAGGTGCTGTGAAGCTTTGTCGTATGACTGCCTCCAGCCTTGCCCCTGCTGCTGGACCAAGCGCTCCCAGGGCCCCTCTCTGCAGTGCCTTCTGCTCCAGGTTTGCCTTTTTAAAGAACACCTCTTCCCTCTTTCCTGGTCCTTCTGTCTGAGGCTCAGGAGGACCTGACAGACTGTTGTATTGTGAGTCTTCCCTCCTCCAGGGCCCCTGGGAGTCGGTGGAGGTGATCATGTCATGTACCGACCTGAGCCACGTCTCCTCTTCCCTCTTGACCAAGGTCCCTGCTCTTCCCCTTCTGTCTAATGCACGTTTAATTAACTTTGAATGAGAGTCTTGCTTCCCAAATGCCATTAGTCAGCTTTTTACTGCCTGCTGTTGTCCTCTGATGAAAGAAATAACTTATTTTTCCTTTTTGCCCTTTCAGAAATGAGATAAAAAGTAGCAAAATCACTTGAAACCATTTTAAATCCTCTGATACAAAGAAGTTGTCAGCTTATAACTTCATCATAAGGGAAATGCTGATAAAAAGGCTACCTGTTTGATGGGAACATTCTGGGTTTTAATGGGATAATTGTATTTAGGTAAAACCTTTCATCTGAGGACTTCAAAGGTCTTCACCTTGCTTAATAGTTATCATGTCCTAAAGAGTGACACCAGGATACCACAGGCCTAAATGTGTACACAGGCATTTGCTTATTTATTTAGCATTTTGTTTGTTTTCCTAGGCTCACCATAGAAAGTTTCAGGAACCTAACCATTGCTGTGGATTTCCATTAAAAAACAGTGCCTAAGAAACAGTATAGATAACTTGTCTCTGTTGCATGGAATGAAGATGTTAATGGGGTTATAAAATCGAGACCACTCTGGAGCCAAGAGAGTGAGCCTGGGAGGTGAAGGAGCAGTGACTAAAGCAGAGGCAGCAGAGAGACCCTTCCCCAAACAGCCCCATTGTCCTGAGACAGGTTTCATCCTCATTTGTGCTACTAGGTGGGCTCCTGTAAAGATGATTCTGTGAACAAGCTCTTGGGGGGAATATAAGTCATTTAACAGAGCTTTTGAAATTCAAAACAAGCCTGTGTCCTGGCAGAAGGAAAGGCCCCTAATTAAGAGCAGAGCCCCCAGTCTCCACCCCCCTACTCCTGGTCGCTGCAATCACTTCGAGGCTGTTGAAACAGCCTCTGGATAAAGAGATGGGTTACTTAAGAGAAGAGCCTTTTAGAGACAAAGCCAGCAAGAGTGGCCCACGGGGATGCCCCTTGCTGCCCCCTCCAACGTCCGTCTGCTAGCGGGCTTCGGCACAAGCAGCTTGCTTGATTGCTGCAGGATCTAATTTATAAGGCGATTTTTGTATCAACATTTATATTTTCTTCCCTCCACCCTCCCCAAAGAAACAGTTCTTTCCCGTTGGGCTCCTTTCCGCATCTCAGGCCGCTCATACCTCTTGACTCAGCAGGGGGAGACAAAGTTCCAGGGACCCCGCCAGCTGCACTTGTCTGCCCAGAGTGCCACC